AGAGCAAGGTAACCACATTGTCCTTCACAGGGTTGTCATGGGAAAAATGGGAGGAGGGAGTGCTATGGATATCACTTTGAGTTCCTGAAGGGAAGACAGAATCTAAATTGAACAAATAAATAAACAAACAATATCTTCAAATAGTTTCCTGTTTTACATGGCAATGGCCACCTACAGTCTTTCCTAGGATGCATACTTAAAATAGGTGATACGTTTAAAACAGCCTTTCCCAGCTTCCTGATGTTGGCTGAGGACAGATATCGTAGCCTAATACATTTGGAGAGCATCAGGTTGGATTCTCCAAAAGAACTATGATTGGTTCTTCCATTTTGTCAAGTAATGTTGTAGAGCTTTGCTGAAAGAGACTCACATTTCCTGGAATATTCAAGCTCCATGAATCCCAAAACATGTGGCTTGGATTAGCAGCCTGAGATTTGTAGAAGTTGCCACTTACTTTCCCCTTTTCCTTCACTGGGTCCTTTGCAGTTGCTGGAGGACATGTCTCCATTTGGACAGACTCTACCAAAAGCAATTGTAGATATGGTCTGTTTCTATCTTGGGTTTTAATTTTTGGGGGGCATTCATGCTACGAATGAAAGTTTGCCTTCCCTCCAAATCCTCTAAAACTTGTAAATAGAGACAAGGGCATCTTTGGAGTTTACCTAGTGTCTGTGGAAGAAGGCATTTCACCTGGGCAGGGCTTCTGTTGCAGAGCAATAAGCCTTTTGTCCTCTGCAAAGCCAGTGCAAAGAAAAACAATCCTCTCGCTTCTCAATATTAATTGCTGTTCATGGAGAATTTTGGGAGAAAGCATTTGATGGAGTTTTCTATCCAAATGTGTTAGAAGGCAATTCCCTAATTCTAGTATAGTATGGCTGTTGGAAAGTGTATTATAACACATTTGGAAAACACCACTTTGGGGAATGCTGATCTGTGACAAGTGGTGACAATGAGATTATACTGATGAATCTCCAGGCCTCCAACAATCTGAGCTGCAAATGATTGATGTATCTCTGTCCATCTCTACAAATTGTTTCCACATTCCAACTCTGGAATTTCCATAAGCATTGGCTTTCTGACAATGGAAGCGTTTGGGCAATTTTTGTTTTGTTCTGGAGGACTAAAGAAAATCTGTTCTTCCTTATTTTACACCACACATAGTCTCTGTCTTATCCCCTCTCCTCTCTCCTTGTTCTTGCCTTCTTTTCTACCCCAGAAGCTGGTCATCTTTTCTGAATCTATTGTAGTGCCTTCTTCATTCTAATTTCATCCCTGGCTTTCCCTCTCAAAACATTTTGTAATGTCACAAGTACTTCAATAACACTGTTGCTTGTTTCAACAGCAAGGGGAAATGATCGAGGGCTTGGATCATTTTCCTTACAAGAAAACTAAAAAGATTATGTATTTGTTAATTGAGAATAAAAATAATTCAGGAGAGATATATAGGATTTGTTTTATAGAGCACGTAGTTTACAGTTTTATGTGGCTTTTTAAAAAAATAGATCAATTCTTGGAGATAGATCTAAAGGCGGCTCACAGCTAAGGTGGGCAACTCCCAGGCTGACAAATGCCTTCTCATTGGCATTGAATTTCAGCAGTCTTGTCATAGCAAAGGATCAGAAATTTAAAAAATGGAAATTTGTCAAATCAAAAATATTTTGAACAGTATGCTTTTAAGACATATGGATGAATTTTATATAAATTCATGCTTCAGAAATATTTTTGGATTGATCTAGTCACTTGATGAGTGTGTAGGTGAGTGTGAAAATGGGGAATAGTGATAAAAGTATTATGAAAGTGTGCTATCTCTCTAAGTTGTTTTTGACCTTTTATAGCTTTTGGAAGTTCCTAATTGGTTATTTTTATTAATTTGCATAACTTACTGATTATTAATTCCTACCATGCCCTCCTTCTATGCTCTGGTCCTCCTTTCCTATTTTTATGCTAATCATATCATCTGGAACGTCAGTTAATTGGCCTGAAAAGTATCAACTAACCTTAATGTTGACTATGGTAGCAACGTACCACTAATGTCAACTGTGGGGAGTCGGGACGGGGGAAGAATAAGAAAGCCCTGCTTGTAGGCTTCCTAAGAAGTCTGTATGGTGCTGGTGGCAACAGGATGCTGGACAAAATGAATCTCTGATCTCAAGCAGATGACTTCAGAACTTCTGCTTCTTTCTTTTTCTTTCTTCGACTGCAGATTGTGAAGAGTCACCCAGACTAAAAATGTGGGGCAGACCCATCTGTACACCATACCCCAAGTTTCTTATTACACCATGCTGCACCCCAATAGACATGTTTAAAAGAAAACAGCTTTCCTGTAATACTAGTAGCCCTGTAATATGCAAAGAGCAAATTCTTTCAGACAACTGGTAAGATTCTAAATTCTTCCTGGCCTTGTTGAACAACACAATTAATGTAGCTTTAAAATCGTGACCCTTTCCTGTTTAGGAATAACTTCTAGCTTCTATGATTATATCTAGATAGTGTGTCTGTTTACACAGAAGGTAATATATCTGTATCTACTCTCAGTGGGGTGTGTCCAGGTTTTAAGTTTGCTTTAGCATTTTTAAAAAACATATTTGATTTTTAAAAAGTTCTTAATAGCATCTTTAATAAATATATTACAGTGGTACCTCTGGTTACGAACTTAATCCGTTCCGTGACTCTGGTTGCAACTCGAGTTGGTC